TTACCATTTGACATTTTTTTATGTTTATTTAATAATACTGATGTTCTTGTATATTTTTTTTACAATTATTTAGTAAAAGTACAAAAATTTTGCCTATAAAAGCCATAAATAACATTAAACAGAGTTACAATTTAGGATACAACTTATTTGTTTCCTCTTCTAATGGCCTGTAGCAAAAAAACTAGGAAAATTGTTTTTCCAACAGAAATAAATAGAGTCAAAGTAGGAAATTTAAACTCTTATAACTTCGAAATTTTTATAAATCAATTTTTTTAAACATTTTTTCCATGTTCCTGGTATCTTACCTTATATGAAATTTTTGTCTGAGGCGCGAGTTCTGGCGCACCCTGTATGTGCAATAATACAAACTTAAAATAAATTGCAAATTCATAATTTTTATTACTACATTCATGACGATATTAAAGTAAATGCCAAAACAAGTTTTATCTTATTTACACCTATTTCAACAAAGTAATTATACGCATAATATCACTAAGCACTTTGTACCCACCTACATGTTTTTATCATTTCCTTACGAAAAACGCCGTAGGCAGTTTTTAATTTAAAAATAACATACTAAGAAAATACACAATGTTTTATATAAATAAACAAAAGTTTCTTGATAATACTTTGTTTAAACATTTTTTCGTGAAAAATCTTACATTCCGTTACAGTTCAAAGAAACATTGTAAATTTTAAAATTATAAAAACGTAATCATAAGATGCAGAACATCACATCTGAAGTACAAAGAGAGAAATTGAGAAAAAATTTGTATTCTCATTAATAACTTACACTCCAATTTAACTTTTATTACAAACAAGCGAATCGGAAATGCCTAATTTGTAAGCAACAATCTTTGTGTGATAAATGAAAGTGACTAATAAAAAATGCTAAAATTAAATTATTTTGAATAATAAAAAAAGTTAAATCTCAATTAATCCAAAAATCATCGAATCGTTAAAAAAAACAAACGAGTTTAAGCACCAGAACAGATTTATAAAGCCTTGATTCGGCAAGATGTCAATGACCAAGAGGTCTAATTTAAATAACGATTATTTTCTGGACGTTGTTTCGTAATTATAACATTCTGCAAGCTGTCACGGGCCGAAAATAGCACAACAAACTTTTATTTTTCCAATGATTGAATACTACTTCTGGAAATTCCACCTCATAAAAATTAAACAGAATTAAACAAATTCAATTACTTTCGCCACATCTGTTCTCTTTTGTTGAATCAACCATATTTTCAACCCACTTAATTGCAATTAAAAAAAATCCGAAAATTTAGAACAACGCCGATCGAATTCCGTCACCACTGTGTAAACTATTTGGAAATCCGGATTTCGTGTTATCGGTTTTAGTAATACCTATCTTCGAGGTCGTTCAAATAATTACAAGAATGACGTAAAATACAAATAATATGGTAAATATGCATAAAACTCGACATCGAAAGTAACACATATACAAGATTATTCCTCGTTGGTAGTTTCATCCAATTAGCGTTTAATTAAGGTACCTACTGAACAAAAAAAAAAAAAAAAAAACAGTACATGAATAAAATAAATAATGTAAGAACGTAGAGGCGTTAATAACATTCCAATTAATGGTGTCACTTTCTAACTAACATTTGCTAACTTTGTGAACTTAATTATTAAACCATTAATTGCTTCTATTAAATTTAATGAGCGCGCACGGTTATTGTTAAAATAGTGGACTTGATGATGTTGGTACGTGCTCGAAAACGGATTGTGTAACAAACTTTACAGGGTGCACCAAAAGAATAAATTTTTAGTAAAATCATTTGATAATTTATTTCTAACATTAACAATAAAAAACTACTGTAAATTATTAGAAAGAATAACAAATAAAACTAAAATGCCTAACACCCTCAGACTAATTAAATATTTCCCAGCCCGGTTGTAATATACTATTAATTTCTAACATTATTATACACTTTGGAACAAAAAACACCATTAAAAATGTAAATATGTAATAACATTTTATAACTACTGAAAGAACAAGTAAATTGGAGTCGATTCGCACTTATTTACTTCACTCTAAGTTCTATTTTTTTATTTCTTTTAATAAATTTCGGACTGAGAGCTGTATAGAAGGTTTCAAAATGATTGCCATCTGGGTAGGCGGTGGGAATGTTAATCAGAAAAAAAAAACATTTCAGTTGAATTCTGTCAGAAAAAATAACAACCTATTTAAGAAATATGCATATTTTTTTATACAGTATGATGAAGAAAAGGCGCCCGTGTTAACCCACACGTTATAAGTGATCTTTTAATAAAGACGAATTCGAAGACCAAAATTGGATTTGTGCTCTTATCAGTAAGATATAGACTTTCCTTTTTAGAAAAGAGAAATCTAAATAATTAACAGTTTTAAAATAATTTCATTGTTAAAGTCTAGATTTTGATACAGTTGACGGTGTTCTTAAAAAAAATGTGTAAAAAGTCTATTGAAATAAACTTTATTGAAGATGTTAGGATACCATTTCTTGGCTCCAAAGAAAATTTATCAATGTTGCAACATTGCAAATATCCTAGGATACAGAAAATGTCCAAGTAATATTCAATTATTGGAAACGGTAGCAACAAAAAAATCAATTTTCAATGTTGTTTGTTCTGTGAAATTTGAACGAATAAAGTCAAAAAGATACGAAATGAGTGAAATAGTTTTTTAGTAAAAGAAAATTGTGCAATATTGCCGCTTTGTGCTGTTAGACAAATTGTTTAAATTTTAAAAAGAAACTATTTAGACTATTTTTGGAATGATGGTCACAATGTTTCAATAAAAAAGGACGCGCCTGTTTCAATCGTGGACGCCTTTTTTTCATCACCCTGTATAGTGGATCACGAGTTGAGGACAAATAAAGGACTTTTCCTTAAATAGCCGACAATTGACAAAAATGCTTAAAATAAAGCCAAACCACTTGACAATATCACAAATTGCTTTATTTCAAACTAAAATTTAAAAAAAAAACAAAAAAAAAGACAAAAAGATTATCAAAATCGGTTGACGCGGATAGGGCCTAGGCCTGACAAAATATATAAAAAAACTTATTATTTTTTTAATTAGATGTTTTCTAAAACGCAATGTTCTTATGTTCAAAAATAAAAATACTGTAACTATTGCATTGAAAAAAAAAATTATTAAAAAAAAGAACTCGTAAAACTGTGAAATTTAGGGCCTATGCGCGACCGATTTTGATATGTTTTTTCTTTTTTTTTTGTATACAAGGTGCGCCAGAACTTGCGCCCCAGAGAAAATTTTCAAGTAAGGTAAGATACCAAAAACATGAAAAAAATTTTGACATTTATTTTTTGACATTTGACATTTTTTTATGTTTATTTAATGATACTGATGATCTTGTATATGTTTTCTTATAATTATTTAGTAAAGGTACAAAAATTTTGCCAATTAAAGCCACAAATAACCTACAATTTAGCATACAGCTTGGAAAATGATTTTACTAACAGAAATAAATAAGCCTCATAACTTCGAAATTTTTATAAATAACATTTTTTCCATGTTCTTTGTATCTTATTTTTCTCTGTGGCGCAAGTTCTGGCGCACCCTGTATAAACAAATGATGCAGAACGTGAAACAGAGAGAAAAATACACGTGAATTTCTTAAAAACGACAAATGTAACAAATAGGTGAAATGGCTGCAAATGTACAAAAATAAACAACCTACAACTGTCAAAGTACCAATGTTGCCACCTTAAATTTAAATTTCCATGACCTACCGAGATGTCAATCATTTTGAAACGCTACAAGTTTCGATTTTTTGACAGATGTCAAACCCCGTTTTCGTATTTTTCCAAACAAAATTGAATACATCGAATATTGTTCCACCTTTATAATCTTCAAAACAAAGACGCGATTCCAAGTCCTCGTTTCAAAACCGTTCATGAACCATTTGCATATTTTTCAATAAATCCATTTAAAAACGCAACTCGTGTCGTAATCTTTTATCCAGTGGTGGTGTTATTTAAGCCAACAACCATGATCTGATTTTATGCATGTTTCCAAATAACGTAAACAGCACTATGATGACAGAAAATAACAATCCCAATTACGCGACCTCGGTTAATAACTGTTGGTAAATTTCTACACAACACGAAAGTTACTTCCGTGTAAAAACCACAACAAAAGAAAACGAACGAAACGAGTGTCGCATTTTTCATATTAAAAGTCAGTGAAAGTGATCTTAGAATGCAAAACTTGCAACGTTATGAAAGTCCACTCTTTGATTGATTCATACAGAATTCAGCTTTTGTTTAGCAACTCATTTTTGTCATGACTTGACTCACCAAAATTATTGTCAAAAGTGGCAGAACCAATCAAAGAGGGAAGTTTAACCCGAACTGACCTTAAGATAATTGCATCACTGTGTATTTTCAAATCATGACCTCGCATTTATTAAAATAAAATCGATAGGCAAAATGACAATTTAATTGACTAAAAAACGTTAATTACTGTACTGTTACAATAATTAAATACTGGAATTACTGTGTATACTCACGTTAGGGTAGTCCCAGCGGGACAGCTGTTTAATTTCAGGACCCAAAACAAAGGCATTGACTTGTTAGCAGTTTCTAAACATCACAATTAGTAAAAAGCACGCACGAAATTACCCGAAAATGCGAAATAAACCAAGAAAAACACAATAATAAGCTTTGCACTAATTTGACGTTACTAAAACCACCACTCTGCAGCCATTACGTCACATAACTGCCAACATCCAAACACAAAAGAACCGTGGTTTTAGAACAACAAAAATAATAACCAATTTAAAGTTAACGGCGCAATTTTTAATCAACCTAATCGATGTTTTGTAAACATCTAACCACTTTATTTGATTAGAATGATTAGTGTTGATTGCCGCAACTTTGACTACTGTCTTGTATTGTTGGTTGTCTAACTTAAAACACTTTTCGTGACCACTTCAAAAGAGCTTGGAGATGAGGATGAGGAAAATAACGTGTTCGATATATGGTTTATTAATATTTCACATGTTTTTCGAACAGAAAACATAAAAAATGTGAAAAAAGATTTATAAATTAAAAATACTTTTCTAAACTCACACGGATAGGACAAATTGGCAAATCACAATATGTTTTTAATACATATGCAAAAAAAGCATTGCACTTTGCCACCGATGCGCATCACAGATAACTCTTTACTGTACAGTACAACTACCCAACTATTAAAAGCCGAAAAAAAAACAAGTGGAGTTGCTTTAGGTAAGCAAGCACACATATAAGTCACATGACATAACATCGTCTATTACATAGAAAATGAAAAGCTATCACCTTATATAACAAAAATACATAAAGATGTTCAAGAAAATATGTACAAGTTGTATGCTAGATGAGTATACATTTATACAAATATTTATAATTACACAGTAGATTTGCTAAGGTACTCTGAAAGAGAGTACATCTCCCTGAGCTCAACGATAACGATTATCTTACAATACTTATTTACTGTGAGTATCATTTTTGTATAAAATAATTTCTAGTATACAAGTTTTATTATTTATTCAACAAGATCACACATTCAAAGCTAGTTACTCGACGAATACAAAAGAATTGCACACTCTCATTACAATTAGTTTACCGCAAACTGAATTTCCATACGCCTATGTTGTAAAATTATCTAAAAAAGCATTGGTAACCTAATTCTTTATTTAAATTCTCTATAATAAATATCTAAACTAAAAACATGAATACAGGGTGACCCAGGAGTGCGTGCATCCTCAACAACTTGTTTTCTATCGAAGTTATCGACATGATTTTTTTTTCAAAGGATAGATACAACAATGAGGCACATTATGAAAATATTTCTATTCATATATACAACTAAGTTCTGTTTTTCTAAATGAAAACCCCAATTTTTTATTACATTTCTGGATTCGCCACTAAATTGTCAATATAACGCACCTTGGTTTCTTAAACTTACTTGCAATAGTTTACATCATACATCGACCCACAAAAAAATTCATAATTTCAAAATTACTCAAGATAATTTAACCAACTTTTTTCCTGTTGATTCCTTAAGCTTTAGCGCGTCTTCTGAGATAAAAACAAACTCGGAGTCGATGTTCCATCGCGTACTACGATTTTTTTAAAATGACAAAATACAAATGGCAATAACTCGACTTTTTCAAATACAACACTCTATTTTGCATCATTGCATGGCATTTTTTATGAGCTCTTTGTCGATATAGGATTCATGGAGTCTACTTTGTAAAATTTATGAGATTTTTGCAAAATAAGTAATGATGGTTTTTTTCTGAAAAAAAAAATCGAATAGGCCGTTTTCGTTTGACACATCTATGCAATTCTGAAAAAAATGTGTTTCAATAAAATGAAATTGTAATAGAAACAGGAGTACATCACAATAAAAGAAATAATTTTAGTAATCTTTACAAAATAGGAAAGAATGATTCATTCTGAGGTACATTTTGCTTGCTAATAAAGGATTTCTGTGAGCTTCACCAATACAGTAAACCATATTCATTAATTCTTCACGAGTAAAATTCATTATTGACAATTAGATGTGTACAATTATTAAGTGTAAAATTTTACGACAGTAGTCTACTCGATTCCTGTTTTTTAGAATTTTTATTTTGCAAAAATCGACAAAAAGCTCATAAAAAATGCCATGTAATGGTGCAATAAAATAGAGTGTTGTATTTAAAAAAATCGAGTTATTGCCATTTGTATTTTGTCATTTTGAAAAAATCGTAGGCAATGGAATCGACTGAAAATTTGAAGTTGAAGTTATGAATTTTTTTGTGGGTCCTATGCATGATGCAATTTTGACACATAAATTGGCATAAGTCAAAAACTATTGCAGGAAGCCTAAAAAACCAAGATGCGTTATTTTCACAATTTAGTGGCGGATCCAAATATCTAATAAAAAAATGTGGTTTTCATTAAAAAAAACGGAACTTAGTTGAGTATCTTATTTGGGACGCCCTGTATATGAATAGAAACATTTTTATAATGAGTCTCATTGCTGGATCTATCGTTAAAAAAAAATCATGTCGATGACTTGGATAGAAAAAAAGTTATAGAGCGTGCCTGAACCCCTGGACCACCCTGTATATTCAAATAAAAAACCGTTTAAGTCATAATGCTAGAAAGCACCAAAATATTACACCGAAAAAAATCAAACAGGTAATTTTCAATCACAAACAATAGAATATCACGGAAAAGACGTCTAGGTGTCCCGCTTCGTAGGTCACCTGACCGAAATCAAGACTCTTTCAACGTTTAATAGTTCTCTCACTTTGTCCGTATATTTGACCAAAGCGATCTTCGAAGCGCGAGTGTTTATCTTTTCGCCGATATTGAGGAATTGGCAACAATGCGCCTGTTCCAAAAAGTCCGACATTTTCAGTTCTCGCAAAACACTCTTGTAATTCACATGCGACGCACTCGAACCGGAAGGACAAATCTGTCTTAACAAAGCGTCGCGAGATTTGATTTTCAATAAACTCGACAAGTCCTGGAGCAAAATCCACCGGTCGTTGGCCGACTCGCCCCGAAGTGTGTACAAATTGGGTAAAACACCGTCCGAAACCTCGAACTCGAGATCGTCCTCGTCGGAGAGGATGTCGGGGGCGGGGACGTCGTCCAACACGTCGAAGCCGGTCTCTTTCGGGTCTAAAATAAAAATTGATTACAATTTTTAAAATCCAAATGAAAAAAGTACCGAAACAAGAAGCAGGTCCTGCGAAGTCCCACGGCGACCCCGGTTTGCCTTCGATGTCGTTGATGTGACTTTGCAGTAATTTGGTCGTCGTGTCGTCAGAGGCGAGACCTAGAGGAGTCATCCCTGAATAAGTCGCCAATTTGGGGTCGGCTCCGTAGGAGAGTAATAATCGCACGATTTCGACGGATCCGTTTTCGACGGCTTCGTGCAAAGGCCTGGAAAAAATTTAGTCAAAGTTTTGAACGAGAGAAAAAATTATGTATACGCACCTGATGCCACCTCGTGCCGATTCGCTCACGTTCGCTCCATATAACAGTAACATTTTGGCGATGTTTAGGTGGCCCTTTGTGCTAGCTTCGTGCAAGGGCGTGTAGCCCGCGTTGTCTTTCGGCGAAGGCGAACATTCCATTTTTTCGAGGCAGTAGGCTGTAATGTCCTAAAAGGATAAAAAAAACAATTATTTTAAGGTCCAGACCCCCTGAAAGCTGGCGGATACCTATTACATGTAAATTTATTTCATTATTTTTAGCCGCAAATTTAGACTTGAAGAGTCTCTTGATGTTTGTAGTGTTTCTTTAAAGGTAAATGGAGACCAGGGGAATATTCCCGCTTTAAATAAGTTAATAGATATTTTTTTATTGAATAAAATGTGAAAATTTTAATTATTAAGATTTTTTGATAACGGTATACCGTATTGAATTAAAAAAAAAACATTTTATAGGTAATTTAAAAATAGAGTGCCCTGATATAATGCGAATTTAATAATTGTTCTTGATTCTTTGATATAAAGCAAAAATTAAATTGAAAGTTGGCAACCAATAATACACAATCATTTCATAAGCTCCGGTACCTGCTGTAAGATATACGACCGCACCCCAGGGTGTAACCCACAGCATGATCGTTTTATTGCGTTTGTTCAAAGCAAAAATTAATTAACATAATTTTTGAACGAAATAGGTTTTCACTATTTTAAACTAGATTTTATGTAAAACAACAAATTAATTAAACTAATGTTTATTTGCGAGGAGAAAAATTAATTCCACGTGTGCCTTTACCACGAGTGGTGCAATTCTTTAAGTAGAAGCGAAATTAAAATTTAATTCAGAATTAGGTAAACTAATTCGAATTAAGTTGCCATTTATTTATTTAGTTTAAAATTTAATTGCGATTAACACGTTCTGTAAGCCGGCCCTAAGTTTTCTATTAGTTTTGCAATTGTCGTTGAAAACGAATCAAAATTATTTATTTAATTAAATCAGGAAAAAAACCGACGAAATTATTTCAAATATTTTAGTTCTGCTTTTATTTTTTGATAATTGTAATACTTTTAAATTAAATAAAAACGTTTAGTTTTATAAAAACACAATTTAACAAAAACCAGTTCTTAAAGAAAATTATGCATTAANATTAAATTAACTAACATAATTTTTGTACGAAATAGGCTGTCTCTATTTTAAACTTGATTTTATGTAAAATAAATAATTTATAAAATAATTTTTTATATTGAAACATTTAAAAAAATATTAAATAAATAATGATTTGTTTTTTCGTCAATGTCATCATTAATGATAATTGAAGCGTTATTTTCACTTTGTTCGACTGTACTTCTTTACGAACTACGATATTTTAGGCTACTTTACGAACAAATTCAGAATATATTTATGTTTACTTAATTTGCATTAAGTTACATAAATAATTTTTTTTATTTTTTATTTCTTATAATAATAAAAAATTAAAAAAATAGGTTCAAAACATGTTCCAAAAAATACAGGAAACTTAAGAAATTATTGTTACTTTTAGTTTTAATCTCAATCAGTATGTATTTTGATACGAATAACAAACAAATCAACACAATTTTTTCGAATTATATTTTTATATTCAGAGAAAAAGTAATTTTCGACTATACAGGATGTCTCAGAAATAAACCGCCATAAGTCAAACAATGATAGAAAAAGTTATTCTTGGAAAAAGTTTTTTTTTCTATTTTCATTCGTTTACAGCTTTGAAAGAGTAACAATAAATTTTGTACAAGTTGTTCGTGATAAGTTAAAAACAATAACATTTATAAAACTACTTAGTTGAACGACATTTTGAGGTATTTTTGTAGTTGTTTTTACCGAGGTTTTTACTTAATTCTTATTTTTTTCCAATTAGTTTCTTATCTCATAAATGAATCGTTTTCGCATTCATGTTTATGTTTGTCACATTTACAGTATCAATAAAATGAACTTGAAATTAAGCAATTGTTTCAAAAATATCATCGATTTTAATTTATCAAGACCAATTTGTACTCTTTACTAAATAAAAATTAAAAAAAAATGTTTGAACTTTTTTTCTCAAAATGATATTTTTTCTATCACTGGCAGTTTGCTCTCGAAACACTCTGTATTATACAGTGTGATCGACAAAAAAATAAATTAGAGTAGGCGGTCATTAAAGTTCTTCAGATGGCAATCCTGATTTTTGATATCAAATGTCAGCGGAAACTTTTTTCTTTTTTGTAAAATAATGTTCACTTTAGAGCAGAAAATTTTTATTGTTGCAAAAATGCTGACGAAAACAGTGAATGGTCATTTTCAGTTTGTGTGGGAAATAATCAGCCAACGTGTTGCCAACTGTAGAATATAAATCGTCGCCTACTCTAATTTATTTATTGTAAGGGGTATTTTTTTTTAAATTCGCATCAAAGCTATCCATGAAAGTTCGATTGTGAACAAACGATGGTATTGAAAGTTATTAATATGACATTTATTAAAAATTGTGGTCCGTTCACAACACTCTCATACCACCGCCAACTATGACACCAAATTTAAATAAACACCCGTTATAAATAAATATTTAATTTTTTATTTCTTATAAAACAAAATTATAAAAGTGAGTTCAGAAGAGAAATCAAAAACATGTTTCAGAAAAATTCAGAAAAATTAAGAAACACAATTTCTTCGAATTACAGTTTTATATTCAGAGGAAAAGTAATTTTTGACTATACAGTGTGTCTCATTCTGAGTTCTGAATTCTGAGAAAAA